CACATCGTCTGTTTGCAGTGAAAAGATTAGCTCGAGATTCACGTCGAAGATGGACGACGTAAAAGTTACTGTTGAGGCGGAGAAATACAAAATGCTCTACTGCCCACCAGTACGGCATGTAAGGACATCATCGTACAGGTACAGTCTGGAAGAGATGGGGCTAAGTTCATCTCCACCGGAGCACAGCGTGAGTGTCGTGTAGTAAAATACTTGCTATAACACAGAAAGAAATGACGAAAAATATGTTTTTAATTTAGACGATGTCTTGTTGCAATACTAGCGCTTCATATTATGAGAACAGTTGGTGTCAATGCTTGGCTGAGAAGCCGATGGTATGAAACTACAGTATCATCTTTGGGTAACCTACCGTGATGACTGAAGGCCACTAAATCAGAATCCCCTTCAAATAACATGCAAGTGCCACAAACCATGTCATTTTGTCTTTAATTGTGCTAAAGGCAAATTTCTGTGATACACAGGCATCACCAGCAGTTAGTAAGTTTGTATTTTGTTCCCTATTTTGTATCTATAAATGACAGCAGGGTGTAAATTGCACAATAACTATTGTATGTTATCATGTACTCAGTTTGTTCAAGGAGTTTTGTTTTGTGTTTTAAAGAGAGCAGAACAGCACTATGCATTGTTTAACCAAATGGTTCTAGTTGGTCAGTCCAGGGGCAAATTGTAAAAGCTCTACATTTCAGTTAAAGCTGCTGTTGCTTGGGTAAACAAAAAAAAAGATAGGGAAAGTGGCAACATCTGCAACTCATCCATGCTTAAGTTTTCTAATCACTTTATCCCGGGGGAGTTGGAATTCTATCCCAGCAAGCAATGGGCATAAGGCAGGGTACACTGTGGACAGGACACCAGTCCATCACAAGACACACACACACACTCGAGACAAAAGTTTGGATTCAGGGTTGCTTTAAAATAACTGCGGGGCTGGGCTGAAGGGGGATCCCCAGTGGTTTCACTCAGCTGTGCCCTTTAAGTCCTGGAATCGCTGGTTGCCATCAGGCTGATATCGTCAGCCAGCTGTGGCGCAGGACTGCCAGCAGGGCGG